TTTAATCAACATGAATACCAGCATCCTAAGCGGTAAACAAGAAGGGTAAGTTTAAGTTCTGCTAATAATGATCAGATGTGGCAGAGACCTAGCCCTAGAAGAGAAGAAGACAAGCTTGTTTTCTCCACCCACCATCAATACTAAAAATGGAACAATGACCAGTGTGGTAAACAAGACATTTCTCCTATTTCTTCTTGCCAAACTTCTTCCCAGAAGAAGAATACAAGCTTATTTGTGGACTGCTGCATTAGATGTGCATCACCGTGGAAGCATCACATTATTTTATGCATGTTGGCCAGAGCTAGGAGTTTGACAGAAATAAAGTGCTTGAATGCCTCTGCACTGACCCCAGGATATCAGTTGCATCATTTACTTTTGTAGCAGCTACTTGCAGTAGCCTAAGTTTCCACAGCAGAGCTAGACTACGGGTGGCAAGGCAAGACCCACACCTACTTACAGAGCAGCCAGTCTTGGCAGTGGACAGAACAGCCACAAGCAGTATCTGGAAGGAGGAAATATCCTTCACCAGTGCATCAGGCAAAAAGAAAAGACACAAGATTTACCCCCGAGTCAGTCAATGTGACCAACCTGGAAGAAGGTAAGTGAACAACCCACCACCAGCAGCACATTGGGGTGAGACAGACTGCATCACTTCCAAGTAGTTAATGTGTTATCGCTGAGCCAGAAAACGGAAGAGAAGCAAGCAGTCTCTCCCCAAAAATTACACAGAAGTGCAGGCATCCAAGTAAGTTTTCCTGTATAAAGCAGAAGAATGGTCCAACCACAGTCTTCAGAAGCTGACTATAAGAATTAGAGCTGGTGTCCTAACTCTACTTTCAAAAACCTATCTAGACTTTTTTTCCTTCCTTCTGCATGATACCACACAAGTATACTGCTTTCAGTTCAAGACCAAAGATGAGCTGGGACCCGGGACACCTTTGGATAGAACGAAAGAAAGTTTAAGGACTCAGAACTGCCGCCTGTTTCCTCACTGAAAAAAGCTGCAGTATCTGCAAGGGTTTTCAAACTTCTAAGACTCCAGTTACAGCGAGAATGAGACAAAGCTGTTTCGAAAATAGTTTTGCCATCAGAAAAGCAGTAAAACTTAATCCAAAATAATCCTTGACTATTTCTCAGCATTGAAAACATTATGGGGCATGTTACTAACCAATAAAAACTATGAAACACAACACAGAATCAGGAAAATAAGTCTGTGGCTTCAAGTTTACTTTTTTCTGATTTGTTTTAGAAATGTTCTCCCTTCTCAAGTCAAGTTATTTTTCAATTCTTCCCACCCTTTAATTCATTACTGTTCACCACATGCCCCCAAACTGGGAGAGAAGAGGTGGGTAATAAATACACAAACCCGAAAACACATATGAATCAAATCCAAAGGCCTCTCCCCCTCATTGTATCCAAAGTGTCCAGAGGGACCAGAATGAGAGAGATGAAGATATTACCACCTCTGGAACACAAGTAGCACCAATTAACACATTTTCATAATAGAGGGATTTTCTTACCAGGGCTTTCTCAAATTACTCTTTCTCAACAATACCGTTCAAATGTTAAGTTGCAGTGAAGAGAATATGCAAAACTACCCAAACAAGTGTTTCCAACCAGAAAGGGAAAAGAATTCCCATTATACTGATGCTTTTTTTTTTAATTAGGCCTAGAGCATTAGCCTTATTGTTTCATTCCATGATCTTCATGGATTTGCCCCTACTGCTATTTCAAGTTTACTGATACATAAGCAATAATCATGGCAAGATATAGTTTACCCTTTTTATATTGCTTTTAGGTCCAAAGTAGTTGACAGACACTCCTCTGGGCAAGAACCTCTTTCTTTATTTGCTACCTGTCACACTATGCTCATATCACCACATGTTCTAGTTCCCACATTAAAATAATCCATATTAGGTCTCCTTAAAAGACCAAGTAAAGAAAGCAGAATTTCAGAGAGCAAGACAGGATGAATGTGCAGGAATCAGGCATTCAACTATCCCATGAAAAAAACTTTCCAGAAGAGGTGCAAAACCAGGTGACAGAGTACGGAGGAAGCAGATACCCAGGGCTGAAGAACCATCCCAATAAAACACAGATACTCATTTGTGGAGAAAAGAAACACGATACGCTAACAAAATGCTGTTCTTAGCCCTTCACACTTACTGTTATTGCAACAGAAGGTAGCAGATCCATACCAGCCCAGTTTGCTGAGCTGACTTTTCCAGTACCCATTACATTTTGGTACTGAATAAAGGCAGGCAAATATATAACAAATTTGCTTACAGAGTTTCAACTTTTTTAAAACATACTGTGAGTATTTCTTCCCTGTCTCCCCAAATACCTCAGGGCTTCAGTTTACACCGATAATGGCTTGAAACAATTCCTTTCCTTTAATTATTGCAGTAGGCAATGATAAAAAGAAGCTTAACAGAGTCAACTTTGCTCTAACATGGACATAAGAGATACAAACATTGTACAAAGAACATTATCCAAGGAAAGTTGAAGTCTTAGTTAAAAAAACAAATGCAGTTAGCTTCAGTGATTTCATTCAATCCTGTCAAATGATCATTCATATTTAGGAATAACTTCTTCCATCATACCTGTCTACCAAGATATTAGGCTTTAAAAAAAAATAAAAATGGTCACAGGAGTATTATGCACAGATTTACTCCTTGCCATTGCAGTCAGGAAGTTCTGACATTTAACATTACTTGAGAGTAAAGCTGTCTGTATTTGCAACTTGAAATGAGAAAGTACATTCTGCCTGTTTAAATTATTCTCAGACAGGTTGCCCAAAAAGATGATTTTAAAGATGCCCAAATGTGTATCAGCCTAAGGCCATATTGTACTTGCTTTCAGTTTCAAAGACCTCCTTTCATCTCTGAAGAATGGAATGTTGTTTACTGCTCAGGATGTTTTGCCATGTTATCATGAATGTATTACAAACGTTCTGCTTCTTGAACTAGAGAGTGTTTGTCAAAACCATTCTTTATTCTACATGAGAAATCTTAAGGCTTTTATAAATCTTGCTTAGATATATTGGGACACCTAAACGTCTAAGTCTAAACATCCTTCTCAAGTTTGCTATCATGCATAATTTCACAAAAAAGAAAAAAGATCTGCAGAGAATTGCTTTCTGGTAGCATGAAGCCTAAGTACTAGACACTGGAATGCAAGATTGCATGCAAGAAACAAAAGTAGTTTCACTGGCAGAATTACTTTCACCTACTGCCCTTACAACTCAGTCTAGTAAGGCAACCTATACGAGAAGCAACTCAAAATACAGCAGGTAAATTTGTGACAATGAAACGCTATCAAGGTTTATTGGTCAGTCTTAGGCACGTTACGTCCACGTTCTTTTAAACTGGCAATGTAAAGAATGGACTGCCAGTTTTCAATAGCAACACTGTTATTTCTCTGTCTTTTGCACAATCTCATGAAGTTTTTAATAAAGCAGACACACTGCAGACGATGAGAAATAACTGAAAAATACTTAACAGGCAGACTTGTTAAATATTCAGAAACAAATCCGGCAATAATTACAGAAAACCACTACGAAGAACAGGAATAGTTACTCAATAGAAGCTTGGGGGAAGAGAAGAAAAGGATGGGGAAAACTGTTCTTGTGCTAGACTCATTTTTTCAAGTTTTTCCAGTGGTATTATAAAAAAATAACTATACCTTCAGCTTCACGTGAAAGTGCATTAAAAAACTTCAAAGAAGTGAAGAATAGCTGCTCAACAGCTAGGAACACTGCTTTCTGCGGCTTGTTTAGATACAGATTCCTTCAGTTTACTTGCGATAAACAGGAAGCATTCAAGGAGCTAATTGTGTCTTCACATCAGGAAAAAAAAAATCAGAGAAACAAGTCTACCTCACCTCCTTAGAGAGGTCTCTTGCCACAGTCCAGGCTGAGGGAAAACCTACAGGACAGATGCCACCACTGTCTCAGTTACACTGCAAATAATTTAGCTTTATATGAGGTCCATCCAGACTCTAGCATGCAAAAATGCCAGAGTATTTTCAATCCTAGCATGTATTTAAGCTTCCTAGGCCACAACAATGAAAAATACTTAAGGTTTATCAGAAAGGACAACTTTACCACCACTTCTTCCAAACAGGAGTTACTTTCCAGGCTTCTGTTCGCTGTGCTTGGGCCACAAGCCAACCAGCCGTTCACTTGAGCAACATTGAGGCTTCATGAGAACAAGGGGCAAAACTGGAAACAACACTTGAATGACAGCCCGCAACACATTTCTCCCATCTCCAGCCAAGATGATCGCTAACAGAAGTAGGCTGTCATTCTCCTTGGAAAGAACTTCTGCAGCCCCATAAGCTTCCCAGGTCCCAGAAACAGTTAATCACCAGCACAACATTAAGAGATTTGTTCAGACCAAGATTAGTTAAAAGCACCTCCAAGGCACTTCTAAAATGCAGCATGAGCCAGGAAAGGTGATCTGGCTCATTGCAGGAATTGAATGGTCTAGCTTTATTTATTTATTGAATGATTTTTGGAGGGATCTAGCCAAGGCAAACTCACAGTATATTTGAAAAGAGTCCCCGTGCATTGTGCATGGAAAAGTCCCCAGACAAATCTCAGAGCAAGAGCCAAGGTGCCAGTTTTGCTCCTCTTTCTCATTTCAAAAGCCATCCAAAACAGCCATCATGACTTCAACTGAGGGGCCATGACAACTAGCTGCTGTGGAAGACCACCACAGCTTCGTTACCCTCCACTGCAGATGGAAGTTTCTCTGAGCCATCATTTCATTTAGTCCCTTACACACAGTGCTCTTATCCACAGTTCTTCCTATAACACACAATTAAACATCCCCATGAAATTTACCAGAAACAATCCTTTCAAGTATCTAACACACAGACTAGTTTTCTTACAGTATGTAACCAGCCATTTAGTCTAAGAGAATTCTCACTTCTTCCTACAGGGAAGGATAAAAATAATTCAGTATGAAGATACAACAACACGCAAGTCACCGCCGTACCTCCAGCCCAGATCCAACGTTTGATGAATCCAATGGTCTTTTCTTCCTTGGTCCAATGGCTGCCAAAGCTGTGAGGTTGGCTTCTTTTTGTTGCATTTGTGCTAACTCCAACTGTTGCATCTAATTGAAAAGGAAAACACCTCCATCAATTACAATATACAGTATCCTAGAAGTCTTGTTCTCTTTATGGCAGCTTCAGACAGCTCTGCAATCCCTACTGAAACAATGTATTTCACAGCATCTTCTCCTGTCTTTCTGGACACTTTTGACAGATTCCAATACTCAGTCACACTTAGAGCCATGAAACACTAATGACCCTAGAAATAGCACCATGTAAGTAACACTACTTATGGAGATCGCATTGTAGTATCAATGCAGCCTTAACAGGTGCCTTGCTGATGGTTCTGCAGCTCATAAGCTTTGCTATTTCTGACTAACAGAAAAAATTGATCAGAACTGGTTTATGAGGCTGGATTAGTATTAAAAGCTGAAGCTACCGAGTTCTGTGAACTGGGCATATTCTTAATTCAAAATCTCAATTCATGACTGCACAAGCAAGACACTCAATTTCTTCATGCTCTATTACCTGAAACCAGCACTCAATATTGCCATTCTGAAACATCTTATTATCCAACTGAACAGGATGCTGCCAGTGCACGGATATTCCTTCTTTTCTCAGTACATATTTGGATTTTCAGGTGTATCGGAAGCAAGTTAGAGATACGCTGCATATATTTATTTTCACTGACCTCCAAAACCTGTTCAACATGAAGAAATCCTTAGAAACAACTTCTACCTAGGTTTGGTAAACTTGGGATGGGAGAGAAACCCATAGTCAAGAGGATAAAAAAAAAAAAAGGTTTTATCTCTCCGTTTTGAGGTACATCATTCTACTTCATTCTAATTGATAACTATAGATGCCAGCTGCTCTGGAGCTTGGCCCAGTCAAGTCTGGTAACAGACTTACTAGCTTGGATTGGCCACCTTGCTAATTCAACCACACTGCTTTAGATCCACCAGCCATCCAAATTGGAGCATGGGTGGAGGGGAGCGATTTCCCTCTCTGTAGAGAAGGAAGCTTTTCTATTTACTCAGGCTAAGTTTGTCCTTAAACACAAACCTCTGGGTTTGATGTTAACCCTTAGATGACCTGACATGCAACTAGGACAGCTCCTTAGCCCATGCTCTCCCCGTTCCCAGGACTTACAAAATTTTTTGCATGGGAATTCTCTGCATGGATATGTGTGCATATCTTTAAAGAAAGTACAGCCATATCATGGTAGCAAAGCATCCAATTCTTACTCCCCTCCATCCCCTACAATCATAAAACCAATTAATTAATTGGAATTCCTCATCCAGTCAGTACAGATATTTTGCTTACTAAGCTTGCAATACACTGTGTTTTTGCTTGCTTTCAGCTCTCAGAAATCCCAACTGGAGAAGAGAAATTCAGCTGTTAAGAACTGAGCTTGTAGCACCTATATGGCATTACTCCCCCACTTGCTACTAAAATCCACAATACAGAAATACTGTGGGGTTTTGGGGGGGTGTTTTGGGAAGGAGGACTGTTTTTTTGTGGGGGGTTTTTTGCAAGTCTTATTTTACTTCAGTTAGGTAGACTCAGTCTTACTTCAGTGATGCTGGCAGCCTCACATCAAGTACTGCGGCAGCTAGGCTATGTAAAGCAAAATGGTATTTTCAGTGCAGGACTCCTAAAAGGACATCCACCCCTGTAAGACTCAAACTATATGCATGTTCAAGATTTTTCAGCAAAAATCAGGGAATGCAAGACTGACATACATATGTTGAGACTAGTTGTTGGGGGGGGGCATTTTTTGGTGTTTGGGGGTGGTTTTTTTTGAAGATGAGACAAATGCTTCAGTTATGAAAACACTATTTGCAAGTCAGCTTTGATCACACTATGTAGGCTTTTGCTTGCAGGAACGTAATAGTACTTCTTCAATGCTAGATACCATCATTCACTTACCCCACACGCTATTCTTGCTTTCGTGTGCAGTATAAACACTTATAACCTTATTTATCAGAATTCATTCAGTTCTGAATGGGATTTTGTTTGTTTTTTTCAAAATATACTGTATTGCTTTCAAGAATGTTTTACAGACTATAAGGTTTTATGTCCCTTAAAGTTGAAAACTACTAGTGTTCTGCAGTTGTCTGAGGTTACCTCCAGCTAGCCTACTTGCATAAAATGTTTAAGATAAAATTCTCTTTAATCTCAGTCTTAAATATGTATCTTTATATTCAGGAACACACTGCAACCCATCAGGGATGGGGGGAATAAGACTAAATCCAAAACCATAACTCGAAACTTCACAAACTCTGTGAACACTGAGGCTTAGAAACTCTTTTTATGCGACGTCTTCATCACTCCCTAGATTAACCAGGAGCAATAAAATGCTGAGATTCTTTGGCGGAGGCACACGCTGATCCAGCCCCAGCCGCCCAGGCCTCCAACACTTACAGGCAGCTACGGAGCACCCCTGTAGAAGTACACCTTCCTGCTAGCAAGTGTAGTTCAGTTGTCACAGTGGTTGCAGGTACACCATGGTCATCTTGCCATGAGAAGAGGCATTACAACATGCCACACAGATGGCATCCCTCTGGGGGCAGATTAAATTCAAAAAGGCTCCAATGGCAAAGAAAACCAGAAGGGGAAAGATGATTTGCCTTACTTTTAAGAATCATTACACTTAAAATGAAAAGGACTTTCAAAACCATTAAACTTAAAACAAACAAACAAAAAAGAAACAAAAGCCTTTATTAGCCTAACCTTGTGCTTCCATCCCTGGGAGTCATTGGAAAACATATCCCCCCCTCTCCCTCAACCCTGCAAAACATACACAAACCAGTTTCACTGCAGTTAGGCATGTCAAAAATGGGTGGCTGCTGAACATTTGGTCACTGGCTTGAAGCAGCATTGAAATAAGACCCCCTCTCCTTTTTACAGTTGATGTTGATAGGCAGCCATGGTAAAGACCAAGGACAAGAGGCAGAGCTATGACTGAGGGAGCTTCAGGCTGGCAGCAGCATGGGGTGGAGGGGACTCGGTGAGTTGAGTGCCTCTTCGTGGAGTACCAGAATGCTGCTCTGGCTGAGGACTGGGTAGCGCTCAGGCACCATCACCATTTACCCCACAGAATTCAAGCTGACGAAGCATGCTGTCGACACAGATGCCCTTCTCCTGGTTTCAGCTAGGATAGAGTTAATTTTCTTCCTAGTAGCTGGTACAGTGTTATGTTTTGGGTTCAGTATGAGAAGAATGTTGATAACACACTGATGTTTTCAGTTGTTGCTAAGTAGTGTTTAGACTAAGTCAAGGAATTTTCAGGTTCTCATGCCCAGCCAGCAAGAAGGCTGGAGGGGCACAAGAAGGTGGGAGGGGACACAGCCAGGGCAGCTGACCCAAACTGGCCAAAGGGGTGTTCCATACCATGTGACACCATGCCCAGTATATAAACTGGGGGGAGTGGGGCTGGGAGGGATCACTCCTCGGGAACTAACTGGGCACCGGTCGGTGGGTGGTGAGCAACTGCATTGTGCATCACTTGTTTTATATGTTTCAATCCTTTTATTGTTACTGTCATTTTATTATTGTTATCATTATTAGTTTCTTCCTTTCTGTTCTACTAAACTGTTCTTACCTCAACCCACTAATTTTACCTTTTTTTTCCCCCCAATTCTCTCCCCCATCCCAGTGGGTGGGGGGGAAGCGAGTGGGTGGCTGCGTGGTGCTTAGTTGCTGGCTGGGGTTAAACCACACCAGCCCTGCAGGAGTGAGCACTGCTAGTGGAGGTCAGTGCTGGCAGAAAACCCACTGATACAAAGAACAGGATGACACTTGGTGGACAGTATGAAAAAGATGTGCTTTCTAGAAACAGAATTGATGCATCTTTGACCACACAGTTCCCAAGACAATGTCGGAAACACATGTTATTACCATCATCTACTCTCCCCAATACATTTTCAACCTCATAACCAGTCAAAGGATTTTTCAAGTCAGGCAGAATCTCACCAGGATTTTGGAGCAAAAGAAAAAAAGAAATCATAGTCTTATTGCATTTTAGACATCTTGGGGATTTTTCTGAGAACATAATTAAGACAAATGAATTTAAACATTCAATCTCCATAATGGACTCAACAGATCCCCATTAAGTGATACGGGCAGGCATCCAAATTACCCTGCCAAAGCCAGCAAAATCATCTTTTCATCAAGTTTTGTTCCATTAAAAAGTGTGAGATTAAATGTCCAAACATTGTGTGAGCAGTTAAAAGCACAGGATAAGGAGAAGACAGGCAGATAACATCAAGGGATACCCGAGGATACTGGCTGGCTAACTACTGCCAGATTTTCCTAAACAAGATTAGGAAAGAGCAAGAGGCAACCATGTTGAATCAAATCTTTCTTTAACAGACAGTTTCATAACACACAAGTTAGGGCAGAAAGATCACTGCAGCAAGTGAAAGACAGTAAAAGTAGTATATATACTTTATTAAAATATAGAGAAGCTGCATCTATAGCATTGTTTCCCTTCTAGGGGCCAGTCTTACTAATAATGGTGTCTCGGACTAAAATAGGATACAACTGTCATACCCAGGTTTGTATCTTGAAAATAGATTATTTTTCTCCCTTGAAGATAGAAGTGTGTAATATCAATTCAAGAGGAGCAGGGGGCACCTGCGCCATACGTGGGACCCACAAACTAGCAGGTTTCCCCTCAACCTGACCTACTTCATCTGCTGAAAGTTGCTGCTGTTCCACCATGACACAGAAGTCCAACACACGTTCTGTTCAAAGTTCATTCCTCAAGAAGGGCATTGACAGGGGACAGTCTCCAGGCAAGAGGCAAATGAATGTTCATGCACCTTCTCCCCTCTTTCTGATTTTTACATACGCTAAGAATCACAGTACAAAGAGTTCTAAAAACCTGTGTATAAAGATCAAATTGCTATGAAAACGTCTCAGAACTTGTAAAATAGTCTTTGTTGCTGCTGGCCTTTTTAATAATAAAAATAGGGTTTAAAGTCTGGTCTTGCAGCAAGCAGGAATCTCTAGGGTGACACAATAACCATTTTAGTTAATCTGACCTGCAGCACAAATC